GGGCGGTTCGAAGGGCGCTGGGAGAGCGAGTGGCGGCCCGTGATTATGGTAATGGCGATGAGCTTCGGATTTGGATTGCGCAGTTGCTGGGGTTCGCCGGAGGCGACTTGGTGTTTTGTTTGTCTTTCCGAGAATATTTTGTGATAAAGCTCCTTCATCAGTTTCACTTTCTACCATTCCTTATCCCTGTGTCAGATTTTTTTATCTGTCTCGGTGCTGTTTTAACCTTCGCTACGTTCACGTTACGTTAATTATCATTATTCTTTACTTTGGTTATAATTTCTTAACCTTAATGCCACTATTTCTGATCTGAAATTTATTGGAATTAAAAACGTTTTTCCGCATATTGATCCATCTGGTATCATTCCTACTGGGGTTGCACTCTGTCGTTTCTTTCTTAAATTGCTGTCTTTACTCTTACTTTGCTCCTTTCTGCTCTGAACCATTGCTTACTTTTCTGTTAGGGTATGCAAAATGTGAGTGAATATTATAAGCACAATAAGTTTTGTCTCGCACGAATATAATATACTATCTACCAACCATCAGATGGAATCGAGGCTACGTTATTCAGTACTTGCAGTGCAGTTGTAAATTATACTGAAGCATTGATTGTATTGCATCTTTTGGGAACTTCTAGGAAATCTTGGCTTTCACTTTATACATTAGTGTGGGAGATTAAATAACATAATCGTGTAGTAACGAAACTTTCCTCTGCAACTATATATATATATATATATATATATATATATATATATATATATACAGAGAGAGAGAGAGAGAGAGAGAGAGAGAGAGGAAGAAATATTTTTTATGTTATAATTCCAGTCCTTCACTCTGTTAAGGACGCCATTCAATACTTTGTCCGTCCCCCGAGTTGTAAGCCACCGTCATCGCTCCTTGGATCTCCCCTCGGTCACCGCCTCCTGCCCTGATCACTCTCGTCACGCTACCCCATCTAGCTGAAAGACCCTTCTACCCTTCCGTTCTCACGTGTTGCCTTTCTCTAACGATCTCTGTTTTCACTTGGTTAACTTGACCTCGCCTCTTCGTCGCACTATGCTTGTATTTGAGCCATTATTCATTCTCCAGTTTCCCTTCCCCCTCTTCTCAGTTACTCTGATCATGCGTATTCATCTTCTTCTCTTTTCCTACTCAGTGGTGCCATATGGGCGGAACTCCTGCCGTTTTCAGCGAATTTTAAACTCGTACGACGGAAAAAAAATTAGTTTCGCGGACAGTGGAATAAACGGCGGAAATAAAAGACGGTGGAAAGTAAGCGGAATTTCAAATCTTCACTGTTAAGGCCTGGACACATAGCGTGTTCGAGCAGAAACATTTTAAAATAATAATAAGAGACAATTCAGTGTACATAAGTGGGTCCTTTATTATTATTTTAAAATATTGGGGCTCGAATACGCCAATAACGACGGCTATGACAAAGAATAAGCAATTGTCTATTTCATCCATTCATAGGCATTTGTCCTTTTCTATCATTATTTTCTATCGTTTGTTTTAATAGAATAAATTAATACAGTATTTAAATATGGAAAAATAATTTATTTTACGTTTAGAGGATTTAGGCGGAAAATTTAAAACCAGTTCAGCGGCTTTTCGGCGGAAACGGAAACGAAAATGGCGGAATCCCCCTAAACACATCTGGTAACGCTGCTCCTACTCCTTCATCTCCTCTTTCTCCTCCTTCTTTTCCTTCTTTGTCGACGTCATTGTCGTTGGTATCATCGTCGTCTCAGCACCCAAAAAAATTATACTTACGATGGGAGATCGATCCCAGCGAACAGCGTGCGTGCTTACAGGCTGTTAAAGACTTCCCCTTTCTTCCTGTGCAGGGACTCTTGTGGCCACCGGCGCCCGCTCCGCACAACATTCCATACTCGTTGGGGGGGGGGGTAGATTCGGTACTTTTCTTTATTGAACATTTATTCAGATCTTTATAGGACCTCATCTGTGGTATTAATACGCTATTCTATTTAAATATTCATATGGTTAGAAGCAGATATACCGACCCAGTTTTACGGTATTCAAAACCGAAGACTGCGGCGGTGAATATTTGGAAGTCGAAAAATCTTCTGTGCGTCATATTTAACATATGAAAGGATCCTGACAGGTACCCTCCAACATCTTATTCCTTAAGTAATATCTCATCGTAAAGATATCGCTATTTCTATTGACCACTGGGTTTGAATATTACTGGCATAGACCTACAACGGGCGGTGAAACTGAGTATGCCTTCTCTGACAATGAAACCTAGCGCGACGGTGCGGTGAAAATGTCTTCTCTGACAGTGAAGATCGCATGTATACTATGTGTATGGTCTTTATTATTAGAATAAATTAGAAATTTGATTAATAACTTGAGAGAACTTGGACTGATAGACAATCTTAAATGTTTGCCAAAACATTCGATAACACACAGTCTCTAGTGTGACAACTGTTTTGTCTTCTGGCAGTCCCGCATACTCAACGCAAATGTCTAAACCCGGTCTTCGCGTGTGCGGAACTATTGCTCGATTATTTCTGGTTTCCGGGCGCGTTATCAGCTTTGGTAATTAATATCGTAACTGAAGTGCAATTTTTATCACGGAAGGTGGTGGTGATCGTCTCCCGCTGGATACGGTGACGACTTACACGTTGGCTTGTGGGGTTTTTCCAACCAGTTATTTCCACCAGCGGGGCACCGCCCCAGCCGGGACAAGCTCTAAGCTCCGGCCTTGTCTCCCGACATGTTTGGTAGTGTGATTTAGATACGTGTAGGGATGAGAATAAGTAGATAAATGTACGTAAAGGGTGCGAATATGAAAAGGAAAAGGAAGAGGAAGGGAAGATCGCATGCGGTCTATGGACCCTTTGTTAGGGTACTGTTACGAGATTCGCCTGGTAATGATTGGATAAACCAAAGAGCAGCCGACCGGTAGAATTTTCCTCCAGACAGCGACTGTCGAAAACAGGTCATCGTCGGGACTCGAACCCTAGATACTCCGGGTCAGAGGCATTGTAGTAAGATCAGTTCATGCCGTGAGCCACCTTAGTCCATACCGCACAACCATTTTTGAAAGCCCCATCCAAAAAAACTTATTCTACGCCTGCCAGTGGAATACCGGGCTTTACAGGGAACTCGCGCTCGGTGACGGGCAGGTCGCATGGCAGGCACCCGAAAAAGGGGAAATTACTCCCCTCCCTCCTCCTCCGCAACGCCCCCATCCTCTTATCCTTCCCCACCTCCGCCTAACCAGCGCGCAGCGGCAGCAGCAGCTGGATTTTCAAACAAATTGATTACGCTTCAAATCCTCGCCACTCCGGCGCGCGGCTTTATGAGGTTGTATTTTTAGTACCTTAATTAGCGAGAAGAACAAAAAATACACATGTGTCCGTCAATCGAGCTGGCGTTGTGGCGGGCGTGAAAAAATGCGCTATAATTCTGAAGGGGGAGCGTGGATTTCGCTGGGAAAATCAGTGGCTGCGTCCAGTGTACATACGTATAGAACGGCGGAGTGTAGTTCGGTAGCTCGTGAAGCGCATTCTGTGCTTTATGAGCGAAACTATAGTCCCTTTCTTGCCTTCTAGCGTTTTGAAATATATATATATATAT